AGATAGATAGATAGATAGATAGATAGATAGATAGATAGATAGATAGATAGATAGACAGACAGATAGATAGATAGATAGATAGATAGACAGATACTACTCGTACAACGCCACAAAGCAGACAGACGGGAGGACTACGAGAACGAGACAGACACACAATGAGACAGACAGACAGACAGACACACAGTGTATAAATGAAATGAAATTATCACAGGTGGACAACAGATAAAAAAGACAACAAAACAGTTACCATTTTCAAGGAGGAAGAAAAACACAAGGGATGAAAACCATAACTTGCAATTTATCTCTTATAACAACTATATATTGAACAAGCATACATTCCCGAACTTGAGCTCATTCACGTACAGGATACAAGCACTGACTTAAACAAGTTTTTACTTTATAGTGGTATAACATATTATTCATTCACACAAAAGATAGTAATAGTCACCATTGAGAAAAATAATAAAGGATTTATATATAAGAAAAGTCTAGCAGCCAAATAATAAAAATAATTCCTTTATAAGACACAACAAGAAAGCTTTTATTTTTAGTTATGTTAAAAAATATTTGACAAAATAAAACTCTGCACTCATATTAATTCCAAATACATTTACAGTTATATTCAAATTTTTCCCAGTTATCTTCTAAATAAATTAATATAGACTGAATTTAATATTAATGACGTTTTTTAAATAATACATTAAATCATTTTCCACGTCTACTTTCCTGCAGTCAGTTACAAATAATAATTTTTTCTATATTACAATCTTTTTTATAAGTAAAAACCTTTGAGCATCATATCTTTCTCCTTTAGCAACACTTCGAAAGAAGATATTTTACTCACAAGACTTTATGTTGACATAAATATTCAATACCTTTAGAATGTCAAATTATATCATTTTTCCCCAAAACAGAAAATATGGAAACTTAAGTACACATTATAACGATTTTATAAACAGCAGACATATATCACACGAAAAAAGTTGAATAACAGACATTGTTATCAAATTCAATTGCTAGATATAGTAAAATATTGAAATTACTTAAAAGACAATGATAAAAGTGATAGATAAAATGAAAGAAGAATATTACATATAGCCTAATGCATAAACTAGATTTCTCTTATAAACTACACAATGGAAAGCACTGTAGACTACTGTACATAAATCTTGAATTGGTATGAAAGTACAAGCATCTAGCACTGAACTCACTTGCTTCTGGAGAATGAAGAGACGGAGATTGGCCCTGTTGAACTCAGAGCTACAAAATGGGATGGCTTGGTACAGCCACCCAGCCAACCAGCCAACCAGCCAACCAGCTGGCAAATGTTGTTTCAGCTTGCCTTTGACTTGAATTTGAAACTTGCCACTGTTACTACCTGACTCTGCAGAATGAAAAGTAATTCAAGTAGCTATAAATATTAATTATGAAAGACTCTGTCATTTGACAAAAGCTGTCTATATTGAAATACACACACATACAATAAAAACAAACAAACCAACACACATTCTCTTAAACTTCAGTTGAACTGCTGTACACACACATGATAAAAAATCATAACATAAAATTTTTAACTTGCAGTCCATGCCTTTAAGTTTTGAACATAATTTTTCCCTCGAAATGATCAAACTCATTCAGTCTTCAAATTTTATAAAACACTCAAAAGCTATGAGAGACAATTGTGATAATTAAAAACACCAAGCCTACTTGTGAGGGGAACATAACAGTATCATTCTTCTTTCCCATTTACCAAAAATACCACACTTGTCTTTTTGTATGCATTATATCTCAGTGAACCTGTTTAGAGTAGTTGAGTTGTAGTACTTGTATATAGCTTACGGCTTACACTTTAAGAACGTATTGTGCAACCCGGCTGGTGAAAAGGAGGTTAATCGAGATTTGCTCGGAGCACGAGGGTCTTGTGCAGGGGAAGCTCACGAGGGTTGTATATAGTCGGTCACTCATGGCCTGTCAGTAACAGTCAGACAAGAGAGAGAGAGAGAAAAGGAAGGGACAGAACCAAAGTCTACTCACTTTACGGAAAATCAACCAGGCACTACTCTTGTTCTAACGAATAAAAGGTATCCAGCACCAAAGGTAGAAGTTCGTATTTATTCCTTCGAAATATTAGTTTGAATATTTGGTAGTGCTGTGTTCCGTTACATGTATAATTGCAATGGACACATAGGCTACTACATTCAACTTGACACCTGCTCACTGTAAGACTTCACACCTACAGTACTGTACGTGGACATCTAGCACAGGAAGAACAGGGCAAAATAAGAGGATCATTATTTGCATGCATAGTTGCTTATTTGTTCTTTGTAGCTAACGGATATTAAAGAATACTGATTCTTTTTTTCTGTTGGTAAGTTTTTTACGGCACTCGCAACTGCATAAGGTCACAGGAGAGCTTGGGACACATTAAACATTTTCAGTTTGGTAGGAAATTTTGAATTTTGCCCGAGTGGCAAGCCTACTCTTATTGGTTTTTGGACCACCACAGGGTCTTTAATGTGCGCAACCTGCACATGGGACTCCCAAGATTTTCCAAGAAGGCAAGGTGTTAGATCTTATCTACCTGGGGTGCCGCTGAAAGGCAGCAGTAAGAAGGAGCCAGGAGTAACAATTAAAAAGTTGCAGAAAAAGTCTGGATTGAGCCCAGGGCAAGGCATGGGGGGGGGG